TATAATTTTTAATATGTATTTTAATTGTTATTAATTATCTAATATTTGTTAATGACTTGGTGATGAAATCAATTATATATTAGCAAATTCCATATGTATGTTGTATAATATGCTTTTAAAATACTTTTCTTTTGTAAAATGATTCAATATCAGGTCAATTTGTGGTTTAGATAATCAGATTAACTAATTCTCAGGAGTATACTGTGTTCCTAAAATGACTGACATTTATTCATTCCTCTCCAAAACCAAATTCATCGAACAATCACACTGAAGACAAATGATGAGGAAATTACAGTTCTGCATCCAGTTTTGCATTTTTCAAGGTTGATATGAATTTGGCGTCACTTCAGCTCTGGAAATCAAAGGAGTCAGTCATTTATATGAACAGGCCGATGAACTGTCTGGGCATGCTTACAGTTTCTTGGAGAAGTGATTATCAAGTCACTGTAACAATAGTCATAACTGTCTCATTGAAGTTCTGGTCTGATTGAACCTCTTGTTTTAAGACCAGCATCCTGAGGAACACCTTCACTTTTATGTGACTAAATCTTGCCCAACAACAATATTTCTGACAATAAATAACAGATCGAGAACGGCAGTGAAAAGCAGTGCCCAAAAATTCAGTCCAGAAATGTATTTGAGGACATAAACAGCCCATATTCTTTTTAACTTCTACTGTACAGTTTTAACAACTACTGATATGAAACAGGTCCTGTCCCAAATGCAGCTCTGGGTAACAAACCACTAAAGGCGACGTTTGTGAGGACCCTTCTGAATCATAAAATCACAAATGGGACGTCCAACAGTTTCGTCAACTTCATGGAAGGACATCAAGTGCACTTTTTAGTGTTACTTCAAATCCTAAACATATATTTTACAAAACTGTACATTCAGATGCTATTATATTAATGAAATAAAAGGCCACTTAAGTGACTTAAAGAGAGACACTTTCATGACTGCTTCTAAATAAACTTTTAAAAAGTGCACTTTGTGATGTCAAATTAAAACTTTAATTATTTTGATGTGTTGACTAACATGCCAATGCACATGTAAAGTACTTGATTATAATTTTAACTTTAGTGTGTTATTTGATATCACATTAAAAGTTAATATATTTATATTACTAAAAACTTCATTACAAATGTGTAATTACAAATATATACAAGTTTCAAAAGAAATGACATTAAAACACGTTATATGTAAACTTTCATGACTATGTTTATTAACACACTTAAGTACACTTTTTGTAATGATATCAAGTTAAAAGTGTTATTTTAAAATACATTTTTAAATCATTATGTTTTAATAATCTTTTGTCATCCTTTAAAGAAAATACACTTATTTTGATGTTGATTAACAGACTAAAGCACATTTCTTAATTATATTGTACGTATAGTGTTATTTGATATTACATTTAAAGTTAATATATTTTAAATGTACTAAATTGCAATTTCATTACTACAAATGTGTAATTACAAATGTATTTAAGTAAATGACATACAAGTTTCAACTGAAAGGACATTAAAGTATATTTTACATGACCATAAATGTTTGTCAGTACATTCAGCAGTAACTTTAACTATATATTTTAAAAACAATAAACGTAATTATGAAATTACATATAAAGATGTACCGACGTCCTACTTAAGTGGGTCACAAATGCATTTAGTATAAATTTCAACTATAATACATTTTCCTTTAATTGTAAGTAACATGCATTGAAAAGCATAGAAAGCATTACATTTGGTTCACACTTAAGTATACTATTTTAATACTAAAGTGTACTTCATTTTCACTAGTCCCTCTGGTGGCTTACCTTGTCTAGTTGGAAGTGGTCGGGTTGTAGCCGGTACAGGAGGAGGTCTGACTGGTGCTACCGGCTGTCTGTTAACCGAGGGCCGGCTGGTTTGTGTCCGTACAACAGCTGTAAACAATTACACTGAAACAAACACATCTACACAAGTGGGTTTTAATAAATACATTAATAAGAATCGCGGGTGGCTCACGTGTGTTCACTCTGGCCGGCTGGCTGGTTGCGGTGGCCGCGCTCCCAGGACGGACGCTGGAATGCTGCTGAGGTCTGGCATTTGTGGTTTGAGAGCCACCACTTGTTGACATGTTTGGTTTTGGTTGAGTTATAATGATTACCGAACCGGTCTGTGAACCCGTGTCAGCTTGCTGTGGTCTTGTAGGACTGTGCTGGACTCGGATGGTCTGCGTGTTGGTCGGCGAATATGGCACTTGTTGGATTCGGGTTGACTGTGAGATTACAGAGTGAGTCCTGGAGCTTTCGGGTTGGGATACTGTGTCCTTGGTGGATGTGTGGCCATTTTCGGAGACCAGGGGCGGCCCGCCGGTGTCAAGCATCTTGGCTAGCCTCTGGTTAAACTTGACAGCCGAAGCGGAATAATGGTAGCCCGGTCCAGCAGGACAGATCTCTTTGAAGGCAGCTGTGGACACAAAGTTAGATGCTGAGTCACAGTTTTTGTTACTTAATCAAGCCAGAAACTTTAAATTCAACCGGTACAACAGTACAATCTCAACTTGTGTTTTTTAAACAAAGACAGACAAACTACACAGCAAATTATATGTACTTTACATGTGCTTTAAAATGTTAGTCAACACATCAAAGTTAAGTTAAACATGACAAAATATTATTAAAACATAATGATTTAAAGTGTACTTTAGAGTAAAAGTTTTAATTTGACATCAAATCAAAGTGCACTTTTTTTAAAGTCTACTTAAGTGTGTTAAGAAACAGTCATGAAAGTGTCTCTCTTTAAAAACAAAACAAAAATAATTTTAAGATTCGCAGTACACTACAAATGCACATTTTATACAATTAAGCACACTTCTTTTTCATAAGGGGCATTTATAATTGTTATTTACATTTGCATACTTTAAAGCCATTTCTATTTAAACTTATACAAGTCATGCATTTAAATATATTTGTAATTACTAATTACACATAGGTAATGATTAAGTTATATAAGTATATTTGAACTATATTAATGTGTGCACGACAAACGATTATTAAACATGATCATTTTAAATGTACTTTAAAATAAATCAGATAATTTGACATTATTACAAAACGCAATTTTTAAAAGTCTACTTAAGTGTGTTAAGAAACAGTCATGAAAGCGTCTCTCTTTAAGTCACTTAAGTGGCCTTTTATTTCATTAATATTATATTATCTGCAAGTACAGTTTTTAGAATAAACTTTTAAGATTTGAAGTACACTACAAGTGCACATTCAATACAGTTAAGCACACTACTTGTTCACAGGGTTGTAACAGCTTTCAAAAAAATAAATAAAAAAATACATAATTCACTGAAATGGACACAGTTGAAAAACACATATAACCCTAACCATGTACAGTAAAAGTCCAGTAGAGTCACATTTTTTTTGTTTCTTAATCGAGCCAGAAACATTGAGGGTCAACTGGGACAATGCTAGAAACTTGTGGTATTTGAACAAATGACACAGTATATTCCAACTGCTTTGATATTCCTCCAGACATTTTCAGAGAAATAGTGTTGCTGGTTTGGGTGGGACAGAGCAGTTGAGGAACAGTTGGACTCTTTGTGTAAAAACCAAATCATGTTGTTTCAATATTCTGTACTAACACATTGTAATGTTCTCAGTGCTGTCATCCAGCCTTCTTACTCACTGCCCAAACTTCTGCATTAAAGATGTTCATTCCAATGCAGTTGTTTGAAAGGAAAAGAGCATTCTTTGAATGTCTGAAAGGTCTCTTACCTGAGCCGAAGTATGGGCATAACTCACACCTCTTGCCCCAGGCTTTGCCCACTCGACTGCAGCAGCAGATCTGTTTGGTGATGTTCTTCAGGATGGGCAGAGAACAGGAGCCCTGGTTCAGGATACGGAAACACTGGTCCTTCTCCTCCGAGATCACCTTCTGCGCTATGAGGGGGGAAACAATACAAAACAACATTACGTAGAGATACAGGTTGGGATGTGAATCTCAACATGCAACAGATCATGCAAATTTCAATATATATTTTTTTCTTTAGTTTTCAAAAATGATTAAATCACAATGATTTATAATGTACTTCACAGTAAAACTTTAATTAGACATTTTACACTTTTTAAAATTGTACTTAAGTGTGTTAAGAAATTCATAAAAGCATATCTCTTTAAGTGTACTTAAGTGTGTTAAGAAAGTCATAATTCTGTCATCATTCACTGTCCCTCATGTCATTTGAAACCTTTATGACTTTCTTTCTTTTGTGGAACACAAAAGCAGGAGTTTAGAGGAATGATCAGGCTGCTCTTTTCATACAATAAAAGCGTACAGTGACCATAAAGGTATTAATAAAATCAGTCTATATTAATCATACTCTAAATCTCAAGTCTGAAGCCATACCCTTATAGAAAAGAAGTACATTTTAGCATACTTTTAAAGAGAACTTATGACAGAAATAATGCTTTAAAAGAATAAACCTAAGTGTGAACTGAATGTAATGTTTAAATACACTTAATTGCATGTTATTTACAATAAGTTTTAAGAGAAAATTATATTAAATGTAATTGTGTGTGCACATTTACATTTAATATTATTTTAATGTAATTGTAAATGTTGCATTTCTAAAAATATATAATAAAAATCATATAACTTAAGATATGTTATTTTAAAATATTGTTTTTTTTATTTTAATTTTTAAATTAAGAAATTTCAATATATATTTTTTTCTTTAGTTTTCAAAAATGATTAAATCACAATGATTTATAATGTACTTCACAGTAAAACTTTAATTAGACATTTTACACTTTTTAAAATTGTACTTAAGTGTGTTAAGAAATTCATAAAAGCATATCTCTTTAAGTGTACTTAAGTGTGTTAAGAAAGTCATAAAAGCATATCTCTTTAAGTGTACTTAAGTGGCTATTTTTTCATTATTAAATGTATATTTTCTGCAAATACAGTTTTTTTTTATATATACTTTTAATTTGAAGTACACAACAAGTGCACATTCAATATAATTAAGCACACTTCTTTTTCCACAGAGGTCGTTATAGCTTTGTTTGAATAACAGATAAATAAAAAATAAAACAGTAAATGTGCAGAAAGAATGATTTTTAGTGAAAAATGTCTTACATTTTGGCCTGCTCATTACACACAGCTATTGTATGGCTTAGAATAGAGTGCACACATTTTAATGGTGTTTTTTTTGTCCTTTTTGGAGTTTGGCAGTGTGACTCACTGTCTGTTTTCATTGTGTGTAAAAGAGCAGCTTGGACATTCTGCAAAACATCTCTTTTTGTGTTCCACAGAAGAAAGTCATTGGAACGATGTGAGCAAATTATTTTTTGTGAACTATTCCTTTAAGTTGATTGCTTTCGTTATGGGTGTTCCTTGTGCAAATCTATCTTAAAAAACAACCCACAAGTAATACATATTTCTGCTACTCATTACACATTGACATCATTCTTTACACTTTTCACGCTTTGATTGGTTTAGCAGCACAAACAAAGTTTAAAGTAGAGCCAGGCATACAATAATCAGCCACAGAGCCACTGGAAATGACATACCGATCAGCTCAAATTACTGCAGGAATATGCACATAATCACACATATACAGGACCAGACACAGCAAGCGTACGTACACTTACCTGACTGACAAACATGAACATGCTCAGAGTCACATGAAGGCTTGACAAGATTCAGACAAGAAGAAAATCTGATTAAAATAGTCACAGAATTTCCCAGATGCAAAAACTCAGGCAGAAAGAGGCAGCTCCCAAATGACGGGAAAACACCAGAAAATAAGGAACGATCAGTCAGGATAGGCCTCGATGTAAGGATGCATATGCATAGAGTCAGGTCAAAGGGCAAAGTATAGCTCCGCCCAACAGGCATCTCTCAAGCAGAGCCAAGTAATGCCTGCTGGAATAGGCAGAAGCACAGCACCACACAGCCAAAACCTTCACTCATTTGTGTTCACTTTATGGTATGGATTTGAAAGTATCCGAGGTACTGTATTGGCGTGCATTAAAGGAATAATTCACCAAAAAATGAACATTTGCTGAAAATGTTTTCACCCTCAGGCCATCCAAGATGTAGATGAGTTTGTTTCTTCATGGGAACAGATGTGGAGAAATGTAGCATTGCATCACTTGCTCTCCAGTGGATGCTCTGCAGTGAATGGGTGCCGTCAGAATGAGAGTTCAAACAGCTGATAAAAACATCACAATAATCCACAAGTAATCCACACCAGTCCAGTCCATCAGTTAACATCCTGAAAAGCCAAAAGCTGCGTGTTTGTAAGAAATAAATGAATCATCAAGACGTTTTTTAACTTTAAACCATTGCTTCCGGCTAAAATACGACTCCATAATCCATAATAGCACTTCCTCCAGTTAAAAAGTCCATGTCCTGTTGTCTCTCACATAAAAATCCACCCACATATTTGTTTAGAACATTTTTTGGGACTGTTTTGGCATGTAAACAGTGCTTGATCTGTGCACATTTCTCTCCTGATTAAGACCAGACCACTTTTTCACTGGAGGAAGCATTATTCTGAATTATGGACATGCATTTGGGCCAGAAACAATGGTTTAAAGTTAAAAACATCTTAATGATGGATTTGTTTCTTACAAACATGCAGCTTTTGGCTTCTCAAGACATTAACTGATGGACTGGAGTGCTGTGGATTACTTGTGGATTATTGTGATGTTTTTATCAGCTGTTTGGACTCTCATTCTGACGGCACCCATTCACTGCAGAGGACCCATTGGAGTGCAAATGATGGAATGCTACATGTCTCCAAATCTGATGAAGAAACAAACTCATCTACATCTTGGATGGCCTGAGGACATTTTCAGCAAATTTCAATTTTTGTGATAACTGATTCTTTAAGTCTGTGTATGACTGAAGGCTGTAGCTGTGTTGCATTGCTGTCCTGCCATATTCCCGCCGGTGCTCTCTTCTCAGGTGAAGCCGTGGTGTCCGACAGCTCCATACTTACAGATGCAGATCCCATGAGAGGCGTCCAATAAGTAGCCCTCTTTGCAGACACAACTGTAGCTCCCTCGGGTGTTAACACAGTTCCCATTTTCACAGAAACCCGGTTGCAAACACTCGTTAATATCTACACCAGAGGAGGAAACATGACTGTCATAACCTGACGTGTTGGTGTGTGAAAACCCTTGTGAAAAATAAATGTGCTTGTAGCGTACTGCAAATCTTAAAAGTACATTTAAAAAAAGCTGTACTTGCAGATAATATAATATTAATGAAATAAAAGGCCCCTTTAGTGGCTTAAAGAGAGACACTTTCATGACTTTGTTTCTTAACACACTTAAATACACTTTTAAAAAGTGCACATTGTAATAATGTCAAATTAAATTTTTTTTAAGTAGATTTCAAATTATTTTAATAATCTTTTGTGGTACTTATTTTGATGTGTTGACTAACATACTAAAGCACATGTAAAGTACTTTATTATTATTTTAATTGTAGTGTGTTATTTGATATTACATGTAAATATATATTCAAATGTACTAAATTGCAAATGTATATATATAAATATATTTAAATACATGACATGCAAGTTTCAATAGAAATTACACTAAAGTATATTTTAGTTTATCATAAACGCTTGTCAGCACATTTAGCAGTAACTTTAACCATATTTCAAAGACAATATAAGTAATTATGAAATTACATATACAAATGTAAGATGTACTGTTAAGTCCTACTTAAGTGGGTCAAAAACACTCTTAAGTTCAATTAATTGCTTTTAATATAAATATAAACTACAATGCATCTTCATTTGATTGTAAATTACACAGAGTCCAAAAACAATACATTAATTTTGCACTTAAATAAATTCTATTGAAGTATATTCTTTCCGTAATAAGTGCTCTTTATAAAATTATGCTGAAGTGCACTTCTTTATCACAAGGGTTTGTCTGTCAGTCCATGTTATTCATTGAACAGCTGCTCTTATTTGATCAGTATCTGGTTGATGCGGGGATAAGTGAGATGTATTTCGAGTAAAGAAGCACCAAACGTCCAGACAAACAGGCAGACCGGACAGGCCACGTATGGTAGGTTGCTGACATGTAAAAGTGCATCTTAGTTTCATTAAAATATCTTTCCTGAAAGTTACAGTATGTTTTTATAGTACAATGATGATCAAGAAAAATGTGATTCCTCATGATACACTCTTAAAAATAAAGCTTTCAAAAGGACCATAGAAGAACCATTTTTGGTTCCTCAATGAACATTTCAGTGATGAGTCCTTAAAAGAACTTAGTTTCATAGTGTGAAGAAGGTTTTAATAATCTAAAGAACCCTTTTCCGCTATAAAGAACCTTTTGTCCAATGGAAAGGTTGCATGGATGTTAAAGGTTCTCCGTCAATGCCAATAGAGGACTTTTATTTTGAAGAGTGTATATGCATGTTTACGGTGAAAAACATACAAACTTTTCAGTACTTACATAAGGATACCTTGTACTGTAGTGTGCATTGTTATTACCTTAAATGTAGCAAATACAGGAGCCATTAGTGTTACGTAATGAAACAATGAATCTGTGGTTTGAAGAAGCAGGAGAGGAAATGTAGTGAAGCAGAACAGAGAGAGAGATATGTTACAGATCTGGAGTTGTCATTATTTGACTCTGTGACCACCTCCAGCTGTCTTAATAAATTGATTTTACAGTGTGTTTATCAAACCATCTGGTCTGCCGTTACGGTCAGAATGAAGATTAGAAAACAAAGCCGTAGATTCTCCTCCGGGGAAGGTGGTCTCTGGATTTCACACATATTGACAAATCGAGAAAGATTCATTCTGTCATAATTACTACCATGTGAAAAAATTGGGAGTTAACAGCTATGCAAGACATTTGTTTTTTTTCTCTCTCTCTCTTTAAATTAAGCTGGACATGCTTCTCAGTATGCATTTCAAAAGCAAATCCGAAGCATACCTGATATACATGAAGTGATTTAAATAACTCCTTTTTAGTTAAAAATAATAAATAATATTTATAATAATAAATAATATAAATAAATATATTTATACATTTTTAAATATAATTTTTTATTATAATAGATTAATAAAATTAAAATTATGCTTTTTAACATTTATATTATAATTTCTTATATACATAATTTTCTATAGATTATAATTTTTTGGACCACCATATGGTAGTCCAAAAAATATAAAACATGCATTATGAAAGTAAATATGGTCAACTTCTATTTACAGTTTGGGATTTGGATCTGCAATGGATAAAATAGTCTTGTCTCACTTTTTTTTTTCTCTAGACAGAAATATGGCACATTATGGAAATAAAATGGGTTGTAAATGCAGACCCTTTTCTCAATGAGGATTGTGCTTTGTTAGTCACTTTGAGTAAAACGATCAATTAAATGTCTATTTATCACATCAGGTCCACAGCAATAAAGCAGCATGGACTACACAGTGCGTGAGACTGAGAAGAGCATCTGCTTCAGTTCCAGTGTTTTAAACAAAACTAGACAAACCATCTTAAGTGATGAATGTATTTGGTCGACCCCTGGATGAAGGAAGGAAGAATGAAGTGTTTGTTTGCATGTTCCTAAAATGTGTTTTGGCCCGCGAGAGATCACTGTGAACGCTAGGATCAATCTAGCACAGGAGGAAAGGGGCGAGGACTCTTACCCACACACTGCGTCCCGTTGACCCTCTCAAAGCCTTTCGGGCAGCTTCCCTGTCCATTAACAGTGTTTCCTGTTGAGATAAGAGCACATTGATCTCTAGCAGGATATACGAACACATCTGTCAAACTGCAGCTATAGTTTAATAATGCATGCAAAAGGAAAATCATACTGAGATAGAGGAAAAACATGCAAACAATTAACAAGTGATTCATCAGCAAGACTGGAGGCTGAGATAAATACAATAATACAAAACATCTGAAACACTATTTCATTATGCCACATTCTGGCTTTGTTCTTTCATGTGAGAGTATGTAGCCTATGCATGCATATACAGATAGATATAACTTAATGTACATCGCTTTACGGTCCACCATTAAATATAGAGTGATTTGATTATTTGTAAGGCAAAAAAAAAAAAAAAAAGATTATTAAAATAATGATTTAAAATGTGCTTTAAAGGAACACTCCACTATTTTTGAAAATAGGCTCATTTTCCAACTCCCCTAGAGTTAAACAGTTGAGTTTTACCGTTTTCGAATCCATTCAGTCGATCTCTGGGTCTGGCGGTAGCTGCGTAATGTCATTGCGCCTGCTGCACTCATGGTACGGCAGCAAAGTTCCTTGATTATTACGCCGGAATGAGAGTATAGTTCCTAGCCATATCGGCTTAGAAAATCGCAACTTTTCATTTTCCGTCCGTCTTAGTACACGATGTAAGGACAGAAGAGTCAAGTTTTAAATAGGAAAAATATAGAAACTCTTTGGTAATTTTTGAGCGAGATGCTAACGGTCTAATCAGATTCAATGATCTATGCTAAGCTACAGCTAAAAGTGCTACCACCAGACCCGGAGATCGGCTGAATGGATTCGAAAACGGTAAAACTCAACTGTTTAACTCTAGGGGAGTTGGAAAATTAGCCTATTTTCAAAAATAGTGGCGTGTTCCTTTAAAAAAAAAAATTATATATATATATATATATTAAAACAAAATGTAAGGTTGTAAGTTAATTAAAATGCAATTAAATGTCATTAAAACTTTCGACATTTGACTAGGAGAGTTGGAAAATGAGCCTATTTTCAAAAAGAGTGGAGTGTTCCAAGAAACAGTCATGAAAGTGTCTCTTTAAAACACTTAAGTGGCCTTTTTTAATTAATATTATTATCTGCAAGTGCAGTTTTTAAAATATACTTTTAAGATTTGAAGTACTCTACAAGTGCATATTCAATACAGAGTTCTGGCATGAAACTCTAGATGGCGCAGTCCAATAGGTCTAACTCAATCTGACCTAATGACATCATTATCACATGGCACAGCTGATTGGTTCTCTCCTGTATCGGTAGCCAATGAGCTCGCTGCTCAACATTCAAATATATGACTAGTGTTTGCAGTAGCAGTTGCAGCTTGCTTCAGAAACCCTCCACCTTCCCCAGCTCCACCTGTATAGATCTGCTACAAGGTGATTCATGTACGCTATATGGGGGTTATTTCATGTATGTTATATTTGCAACAGCAATATTTCTTACATGCTCACAGCAGCATGTTGTGGATGTATTGGCAGTAGCAAGTCTCGGTACTTTCTCTGCCGCAGCAGCAGCGTAGCAGATCTATTCCGCCAAGACCAAACACATTAACATTGTCATGTACATTACCATGCCAATCCCTCCGAGAGTTGTCATGACAGAAACACAATTAAGCACATTTCTTTTTCACAAGGGACGGCATGTTCCTTTTTTTTTCTTTCGCAACAAAGTCTTCCAGCAGTTCAGGCATACTTTCCAGAATGCTTCACAGAAAGGAAAAATAACTATTTGTCCCTGTGAGGTTAAATATGTGTGGCTCTGGGAGAGCCAGAGATCCCGAAGCGTGTAACAGATGGCTCTATTGTTCCAGTTATTTTTCAGCATTGGGTAAAATTATTATATAACCGTGTGCTTAACATTATCAACCACTCAGGGTCGACAAAGAAGTTATGAAAATATATCCTGAGCAAATGTTCTCTGCACTAAGACCAAAAGCAAAAAAGTTAGTCAGAAACATTGTAGCGGTTATGATGTTTTAGCTACAACTGAAACCATAAAAAAACATTTTCTTTACTTGAACTAACCGCTTATTAATATTAGTATGCACATCACTAGCACATTGGCTGTTTATTAGTATGTATAAAGCACATATTGATGCTTTATTCTGCATGACCATATTTTAGATCCCTTAATCTGAACCCATACTTAACAACTACCTTAATAATTATTCATAAGGAGCAAATTAGCAGTTTATTGAGGCAAAAGTCATAGTTAATAGTTAATAGTGAGAATTGGTCCCCAAACTAAAGTGTGACCCATAAAGGTTGACCAAAATAAAACATAAAAAACTTAAATGTATTTTATTTCAGCTATTTGCCTAGGCAACATTTCTATTTCTCATTTTGTTTCATTTAACTTTAAGTACTAAAATAACTACAACTAAATCAACTAAAACTGATAAATATAAATCAATAAAAACCATATAGACATATAAACAAAATGACAAAAACAGAAAATTACTAAAACTTTAACTAAGATTAAAGTGTAAAAACATAAAAATACTATCTAGGCATATATATATATATATATATATATATAATAGTATATCAATGATACTAAAATGACACTAAAAAAACACTGATCAATAGTACAGTTGCATAAATGCTTGTTCTCTCTCCAAAACTCTCTTAAATGTGAATAATTTTTTCTAAAGCTACAATATCATCATATTTATTGTGTTTACTTAATTACCCAACAGCTATTAGAAAAATATGTCAGGTCTGCGAAAGACGTCACATTTTTATCAGGGCAAGTTGGTGTAATTATATAATAATAATAATAATTATTATTATTATTAATATTATGTAATTTCTGTTCCATTAATTGTTATGTGTTTCACAATTATATGAATGTATATGTTAAATTTTTGTTATATATGCTCATTTTTCCATACTATAGGCTCCCATTGTGACAACTTACCCCAACTGCATGTTTTGATCTGTATTAATATCTCAAAAATAATCATGGATTATGTCATTCTATGTCACTATATTTAATAAATGACAGTGGTGCTGAAGTCAGTTTCTATTAAAGCCATGAAAGCAAAGGTTGCAGCATTCATCATGTGGATGAGGAATGTAAATACGCTGTAATGTTTAGCCAGACGGCTGATGGCGACACCTTGACTGATGCAATAATAAGATAGTAGCAGGACTTAAATATGCCGTCTGCCAAAGAACTCGCAAAAGCTATATTTATCTCCTGAAGTCATGCAGCGACGGCTGTATTTTCTGTTTTACAAGACAGACATGTGTTTTTCCAGCCAGCTGAACTGATATCGGTGAGTTTATGAGTTAAGAAGGAACAAACCCGGTGTTTTGTGGCCTCTTCGTGCTCTTAAGTACAAACTGTGCTGCTATAATCGCTCAGATGATTTATAGGCATGAACTTTCAGACTCTCACCTAAGACGGCAGGACAGAGCGTGCATTCGTTGATGCCCCAGGCCTTCCCAACACCCCTGCAGCACATCTCCTGACTCCTCAGACCAGGTAACGGAGAACTGCACTGCAGGACAAAGCAGAAAACACACAATCCTTCACTTATTCATTCACTCAAACGACTGAGTTGGGCATGGAGTGATGTGTTAAACAGACAGTCACTAATACTCCAATGACTGCTAGATGACATGTAGTTGCAAACAGTGTTGGGGGTAACACATTACAAGTAATCAGATTACTTTTTTCCCAAGTAATTAGTAAAGTAATGCATTACTTTTAAAGGGGTCATATGATGCGATTTCAAGTTTTCCTTTCTTTTTGGAGTGTTACAAGCTGTTCATGAATAGATAAGATCCCTAAAGTTGCAAAGACTAAAGTCTCAAACCCAAAGAGATATTCTATTTAAAAGTTAAGACTTGTCCTCCTAAAATGCCTAGTTTAAACACGCCCCCACATGTCTATGTCACTGTGTGGGAAGATTTGCATAACACCGCCCAAATGTTCACGCAAAGAAAGAAGGCGTAAGAAGGTTTTATAGTTTTTTGTCTCGTCGCTCCGGGACACGGCATCAACAGTATGGTGAGGATAAACACATTTCATTACACCAAATACACAAAATAATGTTCTTTTTAGCAACATCATATGACCCCTTTAAATTTACAGTACAAGAAAATATCAGAGTTTCTTTTTCAAATAAGTAAGCCAGTTACTTTATTTCCCATGTATTGGCTGACAGCTCTCCTGTCCTCATGTTGAGAGGAATCAGGAGTGAGTGCAGAGGCGTTGTGTGCGCTGCTGTGTGAACATGATGATACTGTAGATCTAGACTAAATGTCAGCATGCATTTACTCATCTGACGTGCACAAAAACAGATTCAGTAGTCCTCAAAATGAACAGTGAAATGCAAACTCAGAATATGACGCAAACCTGCAGTAATTAAATATGTTAACACAAATATCCGTTATGTATTTAATCCTATTTTATTAACCAGTATCTTTGCTGTTGACCTTCAATGATCCAGTACGACAAAATTAATAAGCAAAAATTACTTTAGATAAACATGACATTTGTGTTTCTTCTTTTTTAATTGCTGAAGAGTGTTGAACTTTCTTCTCATGCGTCTTATTCTTCATGCAGTCTAGAATGGCAGTAACGCTGAAAGGTTTGTTTGAGCTGCGCCCTCTACTGGACAGAAGTGAATTTACATTTCCTTCAGCCTGATGCTTATTCATGTGTGAAAGGGCTTTTACTTTTGCCAAAAATATAACTTTTTCATATTTAAAACAAACAAGCAAGCACAGCCCATAGCTGATGGTAAATAAATTTAAACTATAATACATTTTCATTTAATTGTAAATAGCATGCAATTAAGTGTCGGAAAACATTGCATGCAGTTCAAACTTATGGAAATAATACTTAAAAAAAATATACTTAAGTACTCTTTTTAAAAATATGCTAAAGTGTACTTCTTTTTCACAAGGGATGTATTACTTTTATGTTACGCTTTTATTTCTTTTTTTTTTTCGTTTTTGGAGCTTGACAGCTTCTGGTCTCCAACCCCTTTTGTTGTTTTGGAAAAGAAAAGCCTTGTCATTATGCTGAATTACTGCTTTTGTGTTCCATATAAAAAAGTAATGCATGTTTCCAGCAACATACAGCTGAACAAATGATGAATTTTAATTAGTGTAAGACAAATCTCTATCACCCCAAGTTGCTCCAGGGGAACTGTCCTCTAATAAGAGTACTTTGGATAAACAATCAGCTAAACAATCTTGAATAAACACAGTATTGGTGATGGAAGTGGTTTTCACAACACTGTCTAACCTACATTTGAAGTTCAGCATGCTCACATGACAGAGCCACAATAAACAAGTCATACTCAATTTATCCAGCATAGACCAGACTAGCTTGGGTCCTGTTCCTACTAGAACCAAACCAGATGCTCTACTGCTAAAGCGAACGAGGAATGAAAACAGAAGAGCTTTAATCTAACCTGTCCATTGCGCACGTCTCTGAAGCAGTATTTGAAGCCGGACGTCTCGGTGTAGACTGAATCGCCGCGTATGGTCTGGGCTTGAACCCTCGGCGGCGGCGCCTCGGCTCTCTCTCCCGGCAGCTGGTGAGGACGGGCCCCCGAGAGCCCCGCGGACCAGGTCACGGTTTCCGAGTGCTCATGGACGGTGGAGCCGTAACCCACCTTCAGCACCTGGTGGATCTTCACACTGGCCTCTGGAGGGTGCCGGACTCGTACCTTCACCATGGGGGACACTGACGGACAGAGAGACCGGATCAGACACAGAAACACACTGAAATCAGGGCGGCTTCTTTAACTATCGAAGTCTTTGATCCTGTTGAATTCAGAACATAAACTCTCTAACTAGTTTAATTTATGCACTAACAATTTATAGAAATGCATAGTTCTGTCATGACAACTCTCTGAGGGATTGGCATGGTAATGTACATGACAATGTTAATGTATTTGGTCTTGGCGGAATAGATCTGCTACGCTGCTGCTGCGGCAGAGAAAGTACCGAGACATGCTACAGCCAATACATCCACAACATGCTGCTGTGAGCATGTAAGAAATACTGCTGCTGCACATATAAAGAGAACCAGTCAGCTGTGCCACGTGATAATGATGTCATTAGGTCAGATTGAGTTAGACCTATCGGACTGCGCCATCTAGAGTTTCATGCCAGAACTCTGTATTTAGTTTTAGCATTTTTTCCCTGAAAATAATGAAAAGTCCCACCACAGTGTCATTTCCACCGTGTCAAATGTAATTTGATGTTAAATTATTTAAATGATGTATTGTGTTCATTAGCGAAATGACAACTCAAGGACAATTTAGGACATTTTATAGAGATGGAAAAGACTGATTTTGGAATAAAATTGCAGACTTTGCAAAAAAATAAAAACAATAAATGATTCAACAGATTATTTATTTGTTCATTATAAATTTTTTTATTTTATTTTTATTATACTTTTTTATTTTATAAATTATAGTTCATTGATTCATTCATTGATTCATGTATTTTATTTTATGTTATTTTATTTTATTTAAAGCCTGTTCAGCAGCGGGTGTAGATCCACACACGCAAGGCATTTGAAAAGCACATATAAATGAATAATAATGAAGGCATAATAAAAATATGACTGCCCACTGCTCCGGGGGTGTGTGTGTGTTCACTACTCACTGCTGTGTGTGCGCACTTGGATGGGTTAAATCATCACATGTCTCGTCACTTTCACTTTTAACTTTTCTATATCCGGCCTCTCCGGCATCACAGGCCATGTACTGAACCCTAGTCCTGGAAATTACTCTAAATCACACTCAAATACTCAGGACAGAGCAAAAGAAGTTTACTGTTTCTCAAATAAACAGACTGATGCTCCAGAAATAACAGAGAGAGAAAGAAAAGGTGTAGAGAGCATCCAAGTTAGGATCTGTGCAAACCGAAGACTCATTCTCCTGAAGCGTGTTCGAGCTGTGAGTCACCATCACCTCCTGCCTCTTACAGATTAAACTTGGCAAAACGCTTGTCCAATTTTCCTCCGAGAGAAACCCCTCCTCACCAAACAGGCGCTAAATACAATGCCGATGCTTTCCAGTCTTCTGTGTTTTATAAAAGATGATTTGAAGTCTAAAGACGATATGGAAACGGCTCTGTGATAATAAAGGCCTAGAAAAGACAGGCACAACATGGGCCTTATTTGTTTTGGATGAACATCCCTGCAACCCCATCTGGGAACATCAGGTTCAGTTTGGGATTCAGATTGTTACATAACAGTGCAGACCAGTGTTTAGTGCTCGTAAACCCAATTCAAGTCACCGCTTGCACAATAAGAGTGTTTTTAGTTTAAAAGCTGTAGGGTTTACTGGCACCTTGCACCAAAAATCTGACACAAAGTACAGCGTCAAAATAGCATAGTATAGTATTTTAAACTACCTTTACTTCTTATGATGCCCATTATGATTTGGTTGTAAGTTTGCAATGCTGTTTGTGAATGTTCACCAATTAATGCTTTCACCAAATAAGGACTAAAAAGGTCTTAAATCCGAGCATATAAAGTCTTAAATTAACAAAAGACATGGGATTAAATGTAGCATGCATTGGGAAAAAAACAAATATCTCCCTCAGTATTTTTGTTTTCCAATACAAATATCTAAATATCCGTAAATTGAGATACATTTACTTGAGATGGAAATTATTAAACATTTGAAGTCAAAATTAAGTTTTATTTTTAGCTTATGCTTAAAACAAGAACAAGTATGGGGAATGAAAATGTGTTTTCCTTTGAATGAAGTAGATTTTTCTGAGCTCATTGGCAGATATTTGTTCTTGTTTTAACTGTAATCTCATTTTCATTTTGATCAGTTTCTCATAAAAACTAAAATTCTCATTTTGCTTCTGAATGTATCCTGGTTTAAGAATCTTTAGACATTTGCCCTGGAAAACAAGACAAAATTACGGAGGAAGAACTTTTTTTTGCAGTGTGTTCAGAAGGTAGAGTAAAGGTACAGTTTTTTTTTTTTTTATAAAGTTGGAAGATGTATTTTCAAACTTTACATTTAGAGATTGTACATATTGTACATCCCTGACAGAATGAACACATATTATTATGGGTATTAAGTTTTGTGGTGTTGCTTATTGCAGAATGAAACGGCAAAGAGCTACAGGAATGAGTTTCGTTTAGATGATCTACCTGAAAGAAAGTAGATGAAGAACTACTGAAGACCTGTTGTGCTCATGAGTGACACAGGTTCATTTCTGGCATTGACGTGTCCTCACGTGTCACTCTCCATTACCTCTGTCCAACAAAGAGGCCAAACGCCAACAAATATATATTAAAATGCCATCAGGTCTTAGTAAAGCCCAGAGCACCTTTCAGAGTAAAAACTGTGGACATGGTGGTTTCCCTGATGTCATTCTGCCTCAACAAACCCACACACGACGCACATGATCTATTCAAGCACCACACGCTCACATATTCCAGGTGTAACTGACATCTGCATGATACATCAGGCGCATTTCTGCCTTAATTCCTCACAGGACTCTGAAAAAGAAAAGGCTGATGCTGCCATTTATGGATCGCATCCAAACTGAGAGCTGCAGCCAAATGAAAACAGAAAATAAATGTCGCCAGTCTGTGACACAGTCATTTTTTACCATCACAACAGTCTGGATCCGTATGTGTCCATGAGTTACGCAACAGATTACAGTGCCAAAACACATATTACTGTAAAAGTTTTGATGAAACATGGTGTGCTTGTTAAAATAGGGTCCATTCTTCTAATTTTGCATAAATTGTTAACATATGCTGTACCCTTGTGAAAAAAAAGCACACTTTTAAAAACCGTGCTATTACGGAAATAATATACTTTAAACATATATACTTTGATACAGTTCAAGTGCAAACTGAATGTAATGTTTTTGGACATTTAATTGCATGTTAATTGCAATTAAATAAAATCAACTCTAGTTTAATTTTATACATTTATAAATTAGTTGAAATTAAGACTAAGTTTTTGACCCACTTAAGTAGTATTTAAGTGTATTTTATATGTACTTTATTGCATTCTATCGTCTAATGTAAGTGTATGTCATGTATTTTGAACATATTTTGAATTACACATTTGTAATGATGAAGTTGCAATTTAGTGCATTTAAATACATTAAATAATATATTACTTAAATCTAATATTGAAACACACACTACAGTTAAAATGTTAATGAAGTGCTTTAGTATGTAAGTCAACACATAAAAATAAGTGTACTTCTTTAAAACATGACAAAAATGTTGAAATGTCTTTTTACATCAGGTAGAACTTAAAAAATTGTATTTAAAAAAAAATATTTCTCTCAAACTGACATGACTGAACATCTGGTCTCCATTGTGTGACAACATGCCCCTTCATAAATCAACGTGTGTTAACTGAACTGTGCTTTTTGTGAAAGAACCGTGAGAAACATTTACTGAAAAACACAGATCCTCTCACCATTGGTGTTGATCTGCTCCGGCGTCTGCAGAGGCAGTATGTACTCAGATGTCATCGGCTGATTGGATGAATCGCCAGCACTCGTCGCCGGTCTCTCGATGTGATTGGTGGAGACGGGGATGTGGCAGAACTTCCCAGTGAAGTTGGGCGGGCAGAGACATTGATCCTTCTGTACGCACACTCCTCCGTTCTTACACAACATCGGACACACGACTGACGGGAGAAAGAACAGAGAAAGTGAGTAAAAAGCACAGAGAATCAGAGCAAATCCCTGATGAATGACTTCATCCATCACTCATCAACTTTATGCAATTATGCAATTATTGCTCTAAAAACCACAACAGCTCAATAAGTTTCTGATGAAAGACACAGAACACAGTCATTATTGCATTTGAATGGATGCTGTTAACAACCTAATAATGCGTCTTGGTTTAGTGCCTCGCAAAATGGAAAGTTTCTATAAAAAGCAACTCTTTTTGTTGTATTTCTTTTATTTCGTTGGTGGCCTCGGCATGCCTTCTATATCACATGTCTGTGTATTAATACATTTGGAAAGCTTGGAACGGGCCCATGCCTAAAAAAAAGGAAAATAAATGTACCACGTGAGAGAGAGAGAGAGAGAGAGAGAGAGAGAGAGAGAGAGATTGGTTAAGTAGGTAAACACACACACACACACACACACACCTCTATTAGCCAGGGTTTAGTAGAAGCTGAACAGCATCCAAAGTCCACAGGTGTCCACCGTTTTTTAAGGCAGGTGTTCAGTGCCGGGTCAGCATTGATTCTCTGCTGTATCCATGCACATCGTTTTAAGATTTTTTTGTGGTAGTATTTTATAATTCCTAGAAAACATATATACATCAAAATAGAGTCTAAAGTTTGCGAACAAACTTTGATGTTGACTTGAGAAAGCCTGAATGGACAGCCTGAGTCAAAAGAGCCAAATCACATATCAGTTCGGAGTTCTGGAGCTGAAATATGGTATATTCACGGTGCCATGTGGTTGCTAGGGTACCCTATATGGTTGCTAGGGCGTGGCTAAACAATTTCCAGGGTGATACCTGAAGCCTGTTAACAGTCTAAGTCAAAAGAGCCAACTCACATGTCTCTATGTTGTTTTAATGCAGATATATAGCTTGTTAATTTTACCATATGGTTGCTAGGGTCCTCTAAATGGTTTATAGGGTGTGGCTAGACCATTTTCAGGTTGACAGCTAAAGCCTGTTAACAGTCTGAGCCAAAAGGGCCCACTCCCATGCCTCTATGTTGTTCTAATGGAGAAATAAATACTGTTCATTTTACTATATGGTTGTTAGGGTCCTCTAAATGGTTGCTAGGGTGTGGCTATGGTGATATCTAAAGCCTGTTAACAGCCCGAGTCAAAAGAGCCCACCCCCATGTCTCCATGTTGTTTAAATGTAGATATATAACTTGTTCATTTTACTATATGGTTGTTAGGGTCCTCTAAATGGTTGCTAGAGTGTGAAAAGAGTCAAAAGAGCTCAACCCAATGTCTCTAACCAGGTAACAAGTAATGTTTTAGAAGTTATATAAATGTTAGTAGAACGTTGCAAGAAATGTTTTATTGTAACCTTCAAATAGCGTTCTATTTAAGAACACTTGACACTTTAACATTCTTATAATATTACAAATAAATGTCAGAACGGTGTAAGAAACATTCTTTTAAATGTTAAATAATTAACATTATAATCACAACAAGAAAACCGGACATTTTGACATTTTAGACACATTTCAAAACAATGTTCCAACGAGAATTATATAACCTATTTTTTCCCCTGGGTATGATGTTCTAATGCGGACATACTGTATAGTTTGTTCATTTTACTATATGTTTGCTAGGTTGCGTTAAATGGTTGTTAGCGTCTCTATGAGATATGCGTGCACAAATCATTTTACAAATGCAACTCTAAAACATCAGAAAGAGATGTGTTTAATGATGTTTCTTGTCAATGGACCAGTGAATTATTTAGACATTTTCTTTCAATAGGATTTCTTAGTTTCCACCTCTGAATCCGATTAAATCCATTTATGTGTCTACTTTTCTTTAACAAGGGTAAACTCACTATTAGTTTTGGTGACTTTCATGCTGGTTTTATCATCCCTACAGTGGTTAAGCTGTATACAGCCTACAACAGCTACCAGTAACAAACTATCTAACACCAGTTAAAACCATCTTAGTTTATGTCTTATGCACAGACATAGAAGTATAAACCCAAGATTTCCCTCATTTTAGCAAGATAATTATGTATATGATCTCATGAGCTGTATATTAACCATTACATTGTATTTTATACATACTAGACTGTATTCTATGGATGTGAAAGAGAGGGAGAGGGAGGCTGGCGTTGTTTAGAGAAGATGTGGCAGAGGTTTGTACGTCTGGAGATGAATGAACCGTGGTGGTTTTTGAACCAGGATGAGAGCTTGTTCTTCAGCTCATCGGTGTAAACACAAACAGCTGGTAACACCCTCACACTTCATAAAACTAAAGCTGGAAATCTCCAGTACCTTTTCATTTTCTAGCTTTCCAACTTCATTTCTGGACCACAGATATTCTGTTGTTTTGAAACCATTGAGGGTTCGGATAAATATTGGCTCCATCCAGATAAACAGCAAGCCAAATCTGCACTTTCAGCGAGGGGTGAAATATGTAAATAAAATACTTTTGAATATTATGAAATACTGAATCAACTAAATTATAAAACTCTTGACAGGACACAAATGGAAGAAAAAGCCATTTTCATTGGAGAAGATCCAGGGAGGTCTCATTTGCACTTCAAAGATTCATTCAGAGAAAAGCGCTGCCATATGCGTATCTGCCATCTTTCAGCTTAAATGAAGAAAAGAGATCCTGCCAGACATGACTGGACCTGTTCAAGAGTAGTTGAGTTTAAAACTGAAGTCTCAAATTAGACGCTTTGTCTAATTTGATATAATTTGATATGAACGCTTTTATACAAAAAACGAGTTTGGAAGGTTTGTATCAACATATTTTGGGCACATGTCTATGAACTTCAAGGCTGACTGCAGCATCACTCGAATGGAAGGGAAGGCAGAACTATTTTGAGGTAAATTAAAGACACATGCTGGTAAAGCATGTGCTGTACTCTGGGAGAAAACTGCAAATCATTTCATTTCAATGGCGATCGTATGTCTGACGTAGAGATTCGCTGACCAATGAGAATATTTGAGAGGCTATATATTGTCATTTTAGAAAGACACACTGTGTGAGACAAATATTACACATATCAGACAACATGTTGTTTCTAAAACAACAGAAGAACAGGCTTTTTTATTTACATTGTATAAAGATAAAGGCAAATTATCACAACATATTGCATTTTCAACATCATCTTAAACATATTTACTTTCAGCTGCTGCTGTTGTCGTTGTTATTTGTACTATTTAAAAAAAAAATGTTTAACACAATAATTTTACCATATTTACTTAAAAAAAGGTGTACTGGAAAGCCACTACATTGTAAAAAAATGATCTGAATAAAGTTAAGAACATAAGAACACAATTTCAGTCTTCTTCTTTAAAATGTAAAGTTTAATTGAATGTGTTATTTGTCATTTTGTAATTATTTGTGAAATTTCCTAGCATTTTTTGAGTGAAAATTGTTTGAAAGTAAATCCCATACCATATAAATAAATGTGAATTACTAAATGTGATTTTGATATATATACTAAATTATATTTTTAAATGTGCAACTAAAAATATCTCGTTTGTAATTTTTTAAGTTTCAGTATCAGTGTTGTTTTTTCTGCTTAATATTTCTGTGAAAACAGATTTTTTTCAGGATTTTTGGCTGAATAGAAAGCTCAAGATAAAAGCATCTATTTGAAATAGAAACCTTTTGTGACATTATAAATGTCTTTATTGTCACGTTTGATCAATTGAATGTGTCTTTGCTGAAGAAGCATACATTTTTCTCCCCAAAATATTATTTTACTTTCAAAACAAGTAGCCTTTTATTTTGTAAAATTAGTTTATTATTGTAATAATAATAATAATAATAATAATAATAATAATAATAATAATTATTATTAATAATTTATTTATTTTTAGGTGGTGCTAAAATCCTCATTATTATTAAAAATAAAAATAAAAAAAATCATAAATTAATGTCAGTACGAAAATGTAACCATACATTTTGCACTGATCCGCTAGCAACCCCCTGACCGTACCCCCTTTTTTGAAAACCTTAGTGTTTATGTGCCTTCGTGGTGCTGCAAAAGTCATGACATAAGTACAGTGGGTACGGAAAGTATTGAGACCCCCTTAAATTTTTCACTCTTTGTTATATTGCAGCCATTTGCTAAAATCATTTAAGTTAATTTTTTTTCCTCATTAATGTACACACAGCACATGGGGTGCTGTGTGTACATTAATGAGGAAAAAAAAATAACTTAAATGATTTTAGCAAATGGCTGCAATATAACAAAGAGTGAAAAATTTAAGGGGGTCTGAATACTTTCCGTACCCACTGTATATAAAGCCAATGTATCTCATAGACCAGGGATCAGAAGTTTACTGTACAATATTACAAATCTCTCTGTAATCCATTAACACACATTCATTTACTTCCACTAATATCAAAGCATAATTGCATGGAAGAATTTTTCCATATCGTAAAAAACCAGGACGACAAATGAGAACCGTTTAGAAAGCTGAATCTTTCATGATCATCTGCACATACAGTACGATAACACACACTTACACATACTCTCACACGTGTTGGGAGCCCCTCTAACAGTCTCTGGCTCTCTGCCATGGTCCAGATGTTTCAGGGCCCCTGAGGGCCACTGCAGGTAAGCTAATTAACCCTTAGAGATGCACACATGTACGCAGCGAGAAGAAACGGCTGCTTGATTTCTCTTACGGCAGGAAGTACATTTCACGCTTTCTCCACTGATTTCAGCTAAAGCAGCTGAAGGGTTGCAAGCTTTTATTTGGCACCACGTGTTCGACTCTCTGTTCACCCAAAACCCGCAGCCAGCTATTGGAGGAGAGTTATAACCAGCCCTACAAACACGTGCCTCAGATCGGACACAGATGCTCAGCCCATCTGCATGCATACATACCGTATTGTCCCGAATATAAGACGATGTTTTTTTCTTGGAAATACATCTGAAAAAACGCGGTCGTCTTATATTCAGGGTCTAGACTTTGACATGTCAATAATAATGTTCATGTAAACAACCAGTAAGTAAATAGACTGATGCAAATATCTGCAAAACTAAACTATAAATATTCACCATTCATTTTGAATTGGACACCACCAAAAACTGACTCATTGTTCAATTGTGAACTCAGTAACGATTCATTTAGGGAGTCTGATTCAAATTCTGATTCTAACTCTCTGCACTTAGTAGACAACTCGGAGGAAGGCTGTGAGGGTTTGGTGTTCCATTTGCGACAGACCCTTCGAGACCGTTTAGTGAATCTTTTTTTTTTTTTTAAAGAACCGGTTCATAAGAGTCATTTGTTTACAAATTGAACACCATGGCAATTGAACACACTGTGTTTAGGGTGCATGCAAATCTAAATAACTAACACCACCTCATAAGATGATTTCTGACTAAACTTGACAGAACTGGATTTGCCAACCCTGTGCATGTCGTGACATTTATTGACTTTTCACAACACTTTCAAAGCGAAATGAGTCCAGTGGGTGGTGCTATAAGTGCGTTCAGTTTTATCTGAAACAGACGGTTGTGAATCTGGAAACGTGTTTCAAGTTGGTTGTTGTATGTACAGTATGCTGGGAATTTGAAAGGGAAATGTCTGGTGAGTGTTTCACATCATAAGTGTAATGCTGTACTGGGTGCGCTAACGAGCAAGTTTACTTAATCAGAAAAGCCAAGCTTCTTATGTGATGCAAACACCACAGTGTAGTAGCTTACAAATTATGCACTATGTTAAAAGTGTTTTGAGCTCATGATATAGCATTGTGCAAGACATCTCTCAAACAATAAATCTTTATTAAGCGATAATCTGCCCCTATAATCATAATTTGTGTGAAAAGGAATTAGAGTTGTTGGTGTTTTACTGCTACTAGTGTTCACATCAGCTGGAAACTACATTCTAGGCCTAGGTTGGGATTTTCAATTATTGTCACCTTTTTTTTCCACATTTGTGAGCATTTTGGTCACATTCTACAGCTCTGAAATTGCTACCATATGACATCAATTTGGTGAAGATGAAACGTTTCCAGGCCAAAGGAAGCACAATCCAGAAGAAACATGACTAACAATCCCACATGGATCCATTGAAAGTGACTAGGAACTACAGAATAGCGGAGACAAATGTGTCCAATCAGGATCTAACCCAGTGAGATGAATGCAGGGGGGACAGGGATATTATTTAAACAAATAGTGATATAAAGAGCTCTGGATTGCACTGGCAAGAAACATCTAGTGTTTTTCAGCAGTCAAACTTTCACTACATGTTTACAATCAAGATTCGAATCATTCTCGTCGTCATAATTCAGCTGTCAAGCGACTCCAACGAGCAAAATTACAACCAGCGCTTGGCTTCGTGCCTGGATGCCAGACTGACCGTGAAGTCACTGAAAAAGACGTAACCTCCAGGATCTATCCGCTCAAATAAAAACAGCATGGGCGGAGGTTTAGAAAACTGATAAATGAGACGAGCTGCATGTTTCTCAGAACTAGAAGCCAACACCATTTCTTTCGATGCCACAAACACGGCATGTGTGTTTATGCCCATTTATCTCCAAACAGCTTGAGTGGAGAGAACACATATAAATCACCTTGTGCTTTTATATACGACATGTTCACCAGACTAAAACACAAATGTATAAAATGTATCAGAGGAAGCTTTAATGTGTGATAAGTTCATAATGTGTTTCTCTTGATGGAGATTACAGGCAGCTCTTGTATAAATAGGTCACAATGTTACTGGACTGTTGGGGCTGATTTTCTCTTGGACAAGAGGCAAGAGCTGAATAGGAAACAGGTCCCGAGTGGAAACTGAAGTCAGGAGGACTGTTCAAGCCTTACATAAGCGTACCGTGGTACGGTGACTAGGAATACAACTTGGGTTCATAAAATAAGCCTCTAGCTCAGAAATGGACTGAATATCCAAGGCTGGTTTGGAGCCGATCTCGCTAATGAACCAGCATAATATCATGGTTCTTTGATATTTATAACTTGATTAAAACCCCTTAACTGTCACCGTCCCACCTGTGGGACGCTTGGTGCTCTTTTTTGTTGTTGTCCTTTTTCTCTATCAAATCTTTTAGTAATCATCATAAATCATATATCATTTGAAAGCTTAGAGGCCATCCTGTGAAAACAATTTTGAAATCGGACATTGCGTTACCATAGAAATGGTACTTTAAAATCTTCTGGCGGTCTCCTCCCCCTTAGTGGGCAGTGTCAAGTGTCATATTACAAAATGCATTACGGTCTTTCAGAATCAAACCTTCTTATAATCTTGACAAAAAACATACCATTGGAAAGGTCTGAGTCTTTTTTGAGATAGAAGTAATACTGAGAGAAAGCTAGACATTTGTGACAGAAAAATGCATTTAAAAAAATTCAATGGATTTGGATGGCTTATAGTGCATGTTCTTTACAGTAAATTTAAACTTCTATAACTTTTTGATACTTTAATTTTTTTGAAAAAATTCCACTTCTGAAATAATCTGCTGATTTTCTTCTTGTTTGAAGTTTGCAACTCACAATTGAGAAATATAAACTCGTACTTCGGAGATGAAAAGGCAGAAATGTGAGATAAAAGTCTGAATTTTAAAATTTAAATTTAAAAAATGTAAAAATAAAAAGTCACAATTACCTTTTTTATTTATTTATTCCCTTGCGCTGAATAAACACATTTAAATATATATCAGAATTCGAGGTAAAAAATAATTTCTTATTCTTTGGTGCAGAATAAAAAACAAAAAAATTCATCTCACAATTCTCACTTTTTTTTCTCTCATTAGCCAAAATTTCCCAAATTTCTTATTTAATAACCATTTTTTTTTTGGAATTAATGTAAATAACATATCATCAATTTTCTTATTTGATTAGTGACCTACAAATAGTGGAGGATCTTAAATAGTTTTGTTTAAATTAGATTTTGAATGCCAGATTTTCAGGGTGATCTCAAACTTTTGGAGCCCTACAGAGAGAACAATAAACAGTATAGAGTAAACAATAAACAGTGACAGAAGGCACATTTGATAAGCATCTCAGAGCAAATGCTCAGGTCAAGCCCTCCATCTCTCATTACAGACTGTACTGCAATGTCCATGCAAATGTCCAGCGGGTCTGTGCATGTGCATATGTGTGTGTGTGTGTTTGTCTGCAAAAGCTTCCATTCATCACTCATACTGGAGACACGTGCCTCCGCAGGTTTTTCAGTGACACTTCCATCATCTACCCACCCGCAAGTAAAAAAAAATAAATTCAAGTTAAATCTTTTTCAAATAAATAAATATTGTAAACTCTGTATAACATTACACATTTAAGAAGATCTTATAAAATTATATAGGTATTTATTTTAAAAAATCGATTTAAGGAAACTGTATACGAGATCAGAATTAGAAACCTTGCACACTAAATGCAAATCAGACCACAAGGCTAAAAATTTTACAGTTGTTAATCAGTGTTATCTTGCAGGATTCCAGCGGTGCCCCCTCAATAAAGTGCATTTACTCACACACTCTGAAGCCGGATCCAGGTGGCGTCTGTCCTGCCTGCTCGCTGTTGTAGATAGTGGTGACATTTCCACGCTCGCAGTAGTTGGTGCAGCGTCCCTGCGTGCAGCGCAGCCTGCAGATGGTGGGGGTGAAAAGTACTTTGATCCGCTCTGAACCCCCTCGGACGATGGCGGAGCGCTGCTGAGCCACGGCTAGACAGAGGCAGAGGGCAAAGCCAAAGCAGAGCAGCAGAGTCAGCCTGTGAGGACGCATGGCGAGCCCCATTCACACACACATCACACACTCTCTCACACACACACGCAAACCCAGGATGAAGACGGAAACGTCTCTTTCTTGGCACGTTCCTGCAATATCCCTGGAAAGGATCAACTAGTGCACAAATAAAGCCCAATTCCTGTTCTGGCACAGATATCAGGTAATGTGCGCCACACACACACCTGTGTGTGTGGCTGTGAATGTGTTCAGAAAGCTGTTTGTTGAGGAAACGAGAGCCGTCCCGGTGTTTGAAGGAGCTGTTGCAAGCAAAATCTGGCCGAGATTGGGATTGGATCCATCACCCGCTGATGCCCCTCTTGCTCTCCTTCAGCCCTACGCTCACAAACACTGACAGGCTTCCCAACACACTCGCTACATGAGGAGAGAACTTTCTCTGTCATATGAGGAGGAGAGAGCAGAGTGGGCGGCGAAACCCAGAAAACTAGCAGGGGAAAGAGAGAGAGAATTTGCATCTCTGGCATTGCACACGGGGGTGAGGTCAGCGCCTTTTAATGTGTGTGTGTGTGTGTGTGTGTGTGTAGCGGGGGCTTGTAGATGAAGGGAGGGGTGTATTTTTCTTTCGCTCTGCATTTTCAATGCTGTCATTTGGCAAGCTTTTGCTGTTCCCCTGCAGCGTGCGCTGAACGTTAAGGAATAGTTCAGCACGAATGAATCATTTAGTAACTTTTGTGACTTTCATTCTGCTGTGGAACACAAAAGGAGAAATTTGGAAGAATGTTCATGCTGCTCTTTTCCAGAAACTAAATGCAGACAAAATGACAATAAAGCATCATACAATATCATAAATAACTTCTTCAAGACTACTGAAGTCATACAATAGCTATGCTTGGAGAACAGACCAACATTTTGCTCTCTACTGTAACTCTACACTCTTAAATAGGTTCTAAAAGGGTTTTTTGTAGAGAAGAACCATTATGGGTTCTTCAAAGAACATTTCAGTGAACAGTTCTTAAAATAACCTTTTTTTTTTTCTTAGTGTGAAGAACATTAACTTTTTCCACTATAAAGAACCTTTAGTGGAATGGAAAGGTTGCATGGATGTTAAAGATTCTTCAACACTCTTCAAAATAAAAGTTCTTTATTGGCATCAATGGTTCCATAAAGAACTTTTATCATCCGTGGAACCTTTCCATTTGACAAAATGTTCTTAATGGTGGAAAAAGGTTCTTTAGGTGCATGACTAAAATAGCATTCACACTAAGAATGGTTCTTTTAATAATTGTTCACTGAAAAGTTATTTGGGGACCAAACATGTTTTTGCATCAGCTAATAAAAATACAATTGTTTGTTCATGTTAGTTCACAGTACATTAACTTTTGATTTTAATGTTGTATTAGTAAATGTAGAAATTAACATTGCAATTAATAAATGCTGTTTTGTATTGTTTATCATTAGTTCATGTTAACTAATGTAATTAATGAATGAACCTTTACTGTAAAGTGCAACCCAAATATTTTTAAATATTCCTCTCCTTAATTCTTATCCAGTAATTCACGGACAAATGGAGAAGTCATGGTGCCTTTGATTACTGTTGTGGGCAATCTTGGGGTCAAAAAAGTCAAAAAGAACCACTGCTTTAGATCAAACAGCAGACAACTTTATGTCAATCCTTCTGGCCAATCAAATATGGTTTCTGTAGACATGTCCCGTCAGGTCATGGAATTCAAACCTGATGAAATAGGTCTAAACGCACCATATTTGATTGGACAGAAGACTTGGAATATAGCACAAGTCATTCGGTGGTGCTTTGTTGTCATTTTGGAGCTTTATGGAAAAGAGCTGCCAGGATATTCCTGAAAAATTCCATGGATTTCGAAATTCTAAAAAATTTGTGTTCCATTGAAAAAAGCAGGTCATTCAGGTTTGGAGTGACATGAGGTTGAGCAAATGATGGTCATTTTAATTTTTTGGGTGAGGATAAACCTAATCTAAAACAGGTATTTTACTAAATAAGTATCTGGATCGGAGCTGCCAGGATATTCCTGAAAAATTCCATGGATTTCGAAATTCTAAAAAATCCTTTTGTGTTCCATTGAAAAAAGCAGGTCATTCAGGTTTGGAGTGACATGAGGTTGAGCAAATGATGGTCATTTTAATTTTTTGGGTGAGGATAAACCTAATCTAAAACAGGTATTTTACTAAATAAGTATCTGGATCAAAGTCAACAACTCCATAAAGCAAAGACCAAACTGTTCAGAGCATTTAAAAGGATTAGTTCTTATAAAAGATTGTGCTACATTCTTCAAAGATGAAATGGTTTACCCAAATTTAGTGTTTGAACAGTACTTCTGTTGAATAAACCCGCAGGGAATAAAATCTAAGATGTTTTTCCTAAGCAACAATGAGAGAGCTAATTGAATTTCGCTGAGATATTCTGCTTCTTAATTCGCTTTCTCCAGAGAAAAGCCTAAGTAATCTCTCAGACTTTGCTTAGATTTGCCAAAACTCCAATTCTGCAACAAAATGTCTCAGATCTCAATAAAAACTAAAAGATTTCTCATTATATTCTTCCAAGATTAAATAATCTGCAGTCCCAATTTATATCGTTATATAATAAATCAGTATAAGAAATTTTAGGAGAAACATCTAAGTTTCCATACATATATATATAACCTATATATATATATATATATAATAGTATTAATATATACAATATATTTTTTGTGCCATATTGGTTATATGAAGCATCACAGAGCTATGAGAGAGCAACATCAGAGCAATGCGGTTTTTCCTCCAGGAAGAGCAAACAGTGGGTTAAATGTGCAGAAATGAGGTGAAATTGATTGTAACTCAGACTGACTTGACATACTTTCAGAATGTGGAAGAAATGGGCCTGTTTTGGGAGCAGGAGCCTCAAGCGCAGACGCTGTTTGCCGGAGGAACAGATTCCCCAACATGTTTCTCATGTTGTTTGGGAATTAAGTTGAATTTGTAAGCTTATTGTTGTAAATGATGTCATCCTGTGGCACTGGATCAGGCACTCTCAGAAACAATCATGCACAATATCATAAATCTTCATATATTATTTCTTTATTTCATGCAGGTTTGACTCTGGAATCTGCTTTTCACTTTATACTCATAATGAAACTCATACAGTTATTCATCTGACAGATGCTTTTATATTTATTGCAACTTAAAACATTAATCAGTATGTGCTGAATGCAACCGATGACTACCAGTCAAGCTTCAGAAACATGTACTGCCGCTTTCCACGAATTAGGAACAAAGCAGGCCTCATGATGTATTTATTTATTTGTTTGTTTGTGAAAGAAGGTGCTAAACCTTCATAAAGTATTAAACATCAACTTCAGGATGCCAAACTAAATGTTATGAGCTTTTTTTTAAATTTTCTGTTCATTTGCATTTCAATATTTGCAACCCTGTTACCAAATTATATTTTATTGTGATTTTGCTTTTCTAGAGATAAATATTAAATAAATAAATTAAATCCATGAATACATTGATTTATTTAATAAATTAAGTATATGTATTTGTATAATCCCTATCCATATGTATTCATATTTGCAACCATGGTACCAAAATTGAAAACATAAAACACAGTTTAAAACTCTTTGTTGAACTAAAAAAACAACAACAGCAACAACAAAAAACAAAAAAACAAAACAAAAAAAAAACCATACAAAATATAAAGACATTGTCTTTAAGATAAACATAAAACAAAACAAACAAACAAATTTCTTTAATCATTTAAACAATAAACACAAAATTAAATATCAATAAAATGTATTTTTGTTTACATTTCAATAATTGCAATCATGTTACAAAAATCAAAGACAACTAAAAACTAAAATTTTTGTAGAAGGCCTTTTGTAAATGTTAGTTTTTAGTCTTTCATTTTTAGATACGCAGGTAATTTTCTGGTCATTTTAATATCAGTAAATTTCTATCTTTAAGAAGGGGATACTATACAAATGAACAAAAACATGGGATGTGTGCCTGTAATGCTTATTTAAAATAGCAATGGGACACTGAAATGCCATATTCACGTAATCCAGCTCTGGATTTAAAGGCCATTGACTGGTTTTAAGAGAGACTTTCTGGATTTCTGTGCTTCATCAGTACATCATGAGCAATATCGGCTGAGACTGTCACTTGGTCAGTGCCAAATTACAACCTCTTTGAATCTAAAATTGAATCTAAAATCTCTCTTGACTCTAAAACTCCAGAAGAACAGGTCACATCAGTGCACAGACACTGGGGAAAAACAGCATTAATCATAAGCTTACCAAAATCCACTATCAACAATATCTCACACAAGCATTCATATTTGGCAACACAAACTGGACAATAAAATCCTGACGAAGAGCTTAAGGGTCAAACTGTTAGATCTGACGCCCTCAACTTCAGCTATGCGTTATGCGCTCATCTTATCGACTCGTGACACCAGGGGAATTCAGCTCTCGTTGTATGAGTGTAAATATTTATAAAGTGTGCCATTTCAGTCATCATTGCAAAAATAGGTCGTTAATGAAGAAGTGGTTTCCTCATGTGCTGGAATGCTGAGCTTCTGTCACTCCCTCTCGACATTACAAACTCTCTCGGCGTGGAAACTTGAATTCATTAAGTGTTGGATTTCCAGAGATCTGGCGTTTGGCAGCGGCTCTTCTCTTTTCCACGTGAGACGACATCCTTCATTCGAGCACTTTCCACTTCGCCAGGCAATAAGCGTTGAGGTTATGCGGCTGGAGAAGGTGCATAATAGCGTTTGAAGTTAAAGGAGAGAGGAGAGGGAAGCCCTGAGGTTATGTGGACAGTCCGGGGTTGTTTATATGCTGGCTCTGGATTTAAAGGCCGGACTGGTGTTAGGAAAGGACTTTTGGGCACACTTCATTACATAAAACCACACTCAGGTAGGGAAAAACTGTATAGACTGGCTCAGAAAACCCTAAATAACCTCAGCTCAGATATTCTTCAGCCGAAACCTCTTCATAACAGTGTTATTTTAGTATTCTATTATAGTTTTTGAGAATATTTTAGATTTTATTTTTATATTTTCTCTTTTCATTTTAATTTTTGTTAAGACTTTGGTCTTTTTTCAATATTATTGTTTAAATATAAATATGTTTTAGTATTATAAAACTAAAAACTTAATAAAACCATATAGAGACATTTAAAATAATTGTAGTTATCTTTAGTACTTTACTTGCCTTGGCAGTTGCTTATTATTTATATTGTATCTTATTTCAGTTAATGTTCATTTTATTTCAAGTAATTAATATGTTTTATTGGTTTAGTTTTATGATTTTAGTTTTTATGTTTTCCTTTTAATTTGAAAGTTTTAGTAATTTTGTTGTGTTTTTGTCATTTTTTTTCTATTTTATATAAACAGGTTTAGTTTCTATTGTTTTAATT